TCCTTTGGTATAGAGGAATTTCAGGAGTAGCCTAAAACTCCATCTTCTCACTGCTAAGCCCCGCCTTCTTCCCATTTTTAGAAACTTAAAGCACATTCAGAGTATTTCAGTGAAGAATATGATCCAAAGAACAATGCAATTGTTGAATTAAAATAAAGCAGTAATTCAAATCTAAATTTGAATTAATCCTTGATTGAATGGATTAGCAAGGGGACAGATGTCCATTAAACTCTAATATTCAATAAATGATAGCTTTTCAGCAGAAAGTATAATTGTCAGGATAAAATGGTCTCTACTAGTAGTAATAGTAAATATGGTTTTGAAAAAAAAGTTTAGGATTATCTGAACTAAATCCATTATTTCTAAAATTCAGAAAAATTTCCTTCAGCAAATAGGGTTTTTAAAATTTAAATTTATTAAACCAAAATCCATGAAACCAAGAACTTATTTTTACAACAAAAGAATCCTATTGCTGCATATTAACCCTGCTTTTTCTTTTTCTAGCCCCAGCTGAAATTGGAAGATAGGAGTCACACTGATTCTTCAATCAATAGTGGAATGGCATATTATTATGTGGGGTATTATGCAGACCATGTGGATATTTAAACCAAATAATTATGATTATATACTTCATAATATGTAGGGAAGTATATCTGCATTCATAGCTTTGGTTTGATTTGTATACAATACAAATACAACCATTTGTATACAATACCACATTTTTGTTGTTGAGCCATCTATTGTCTTCTTGAGCCATCTACAATTCCTGAGCTATAATTATCTGTCTGCACAGTTCCTCACTTCAACATGGCTACTAGTATACCTCTTATCATATACATTGGCCAGCTGCAAGTCTATCCCCATACTGACCTGCTATTTAACAACTTCTCATGAAATAAACAGTAGAAATAACAGCTGTGGAGTGTGTTTGTTACTGTTCACAACACAATCTGAATTTTGTGCCCAGAAGCTGTTTTAATAGTTCACTATTAACGTTATAACAGCATTTGCAATAAAGAGATAAAGAAGTTGTCTCTCCAGGTTATTTGAAGTCATATTTCCCCAAATTTGAATAGCACCACACATACAAGCAAGAAAGATTGGATGCCCCACTACTTTTCCTCTCACCCATCTCCCATGGGTGAGAATGAGGTAATTACTGTGTGGAAATAGAAGTGTAGTTCCTTTTAATTCATTTTATATGCCTTTATTTCTAAAGCAATGATGGTTTATCAGATTCCAGAAGTAATATTTTGTTAATCATCAAATTGACAAGATTTGGACCCTTTAACTCCTGTATGATTCTTTCCTACTTAGTCCTTTGCTATGCCCTCTAATTTTCATGTTGCTGTTTCTGCTTTTCCTTACATCTGAGATAATTGCATACAGTGCTGACTGAAATGTACTGCATGAAGAATAATACCAATAGTTTCCATTGTGGGATTTTAATCTTTTTACTTGTATTGTCCATGCTCATATTTATTTTGTTGGTCAACAAAACTGGTTGAAAAATTGAACTCCTGCATTTGATCACTTAGCAAAAGAGTGATGGTATTCAAGATGTCCATTTTGTAAAGATAATAGATCCAAGCACTTGTCCAATGGAAGTTAATTCCTAGCAATGTCTTTGCATGATCTGCATGAAGAGTTCTGTGGTCTCTTTATGACAATTTGGTTGTGTTCTAAGGGTAGCAAACAGTGCAACTTGGCTGTTTGCCCACATGGCACTTGTTCACTAGTTTTTCCATCTGAATGTTCTTCCTCTGAATGGCTATTGTTGGATGTTGGTGGTAAAGAATTTCAAGACAGATGAATTATTGATAGGTATTGCTTTTATGTTATCCTATAACTATTGTATTTTACCCGATTCTCATTTTCAATTGTTTGTATAGGATTTTATTGGTCATACGTGTTTGAACCTTATGCTTTGTTATGGCTTATAGACTAATCAATAAAGCTATAATGATAATTATTGCTGTGAATTTATGTTTGATTCTGTAGCATTGAGTTTGGTTTTTACATTTATTCTTACAATGCTACATCTATTACAGACTAGATACAGGAATATATTATATAAAGATCCAAGTTATATAATATGTTATATAATATAACCAGGTTGTCTGGTGATTAAGACACCAGGCTAGAAAGTGGAAAGACTATAATTCAAGCTCTTCTTTTGCCAAGAAATCCAGCTGGGTGACTTTGGCCCAGTTACATTCTCTCAAATCAACCCATCTCAATGGGGGGTAGTTATGCGGAAAATGTAAGAAGTAAGGCATGTTGGATATGTTCATCACTTTGAGATATTAAAAATAATACATGTGAGATATAAATAAATAAATATTCATTTGTTAACTGTGACACCGGGACTACCTGTAAAGATGCTGTCAGTTATTTAATATTTTTTTCTGTATAAGTTTAAGTTTAATACAGGATGTTTAATTACAAATGTCTCTTGATATCTATGACACTATCATTTGTTGTTCATGTATCTGTCATAGAAAGACCTGGGTATACATGTACACTTTTTGCATAAGAAGTTTTGGTCTTATTTTACAGACTGGATTTCAAATGTTTAGAGTGGATTTTTAACAATTAAATTGTCTGCGTAACAATTATGTTGTCTTCAGTTAGTTCTTTTAATTATTTGATTCTGATGGATCTCACTGACTTCACATGGCTGTCCCAAAAGCTGGCCTTATTCTTCTTAGAATCAATTCACTCAGCTGTTGGAGACATCCTTCACAGACCATCTGGTGCATGCTGCTGCTCTTTTGTGCACAGTCCTTTTATTTTCTCGGTAGAACTTAGTGTTCTTCCCAGACCACTTGTGGCCCTTTCTGATGATTTAACTCCTTGAAGCTTCCAAAAACAGTATTAGTGTATTAGTGTTTCAAACTTAGATTAACCTCATCCTTTTTATATACTACATTTTTTTATTATCTGCAAAAATTAATTAAATGTAACAGGTTAGATTTTGGTTACCAAGATTTATTTCATGCCCATGTTTTTCCAGTCTTATTGCATTGTTCCTTCTAAATGGCAGGCAAAATAAAAATAGTATTCATAAATCAATCCTTGAATTTTCCTTTAGGCTGTGGATAAAGTTGGTGCTTAAGTAGAAGGCAAAGCCCAATTCATTATTCATGAGTAGAGTATATAAACAAGATGCTGTATGACAATTAATTTCACTTAATCATTTGTTTGGAACTTGTGTTTTTATTAATAGGTAAAACTAAATCACAATGATTGTCTTTTTAAAAACATAAATGTCAATCAATAGTATATTTCTGCATGAAAACCAACAAGTATGCATGTTTTAGAACTATTTTAGGGAAGAATAGTATCCTGTTTCAAATATATGAGTGTTGCAAAACATGCCAAATTATTGTCAGTTTAAGGAAGAAAATCAAACTTTCTACCAAACCAAAATCATGCAATTAAATTAAACTATTTCAAATTAATATTCTGAATGGAAAAGTAAACTTGGGTACCTGTGGGTCATTTCAATAGTGAAAGAATCAGTTCATTTAAGAACAGTAAAAATCAACCTGATCTACCCCTTTTCTCTTTAAAATTGCAGTTAACACCATTGGAGTGAAACATACATGTTTATGGTTTCAGTCCTGTAATCCTGAATTTAATGGGTTCCCAAATTCAAAGGAAAAACACACACCTTTATTACTTCTAAGTAGTAAAAGCAGAAAAGACTAATGTATAGAAGAAAATGTAACAGTTTTGTTCTTCCTCCCTTCTTCTCTCCCCCCCTTATCTAAATGCACTAAAATGATGATGCTCATTAAGAATACATACCAGATCTACAATCAATATCTTGCCTATATTTAGCTTGTCTCGCAAGTATTTGGCAGTAATTGCAACCGAATTAAAAAAGCAGAACCCCCTGTGGAATAGAGAAGAACAGAAATTTTATAAAGCACATTGGTCAGGAAACAGCTATAAATAATGTTTAGGAGCATTTGTGTGTTTGTGTGTGTGTGTATTATAAAAAAGCTGTATGATCTCTGAGATCATAAATCTCCTTCTGGGATACCTCGAAAGCCTTTTCAGTCATCTGCTAACAATTAGAGCTCCTCTGAGACACCCACAGTACAGGTGATTGCCAGTAACCCTAGCACTCCAAGATGGGTAATATACCCTGGTACTTACATGGCTGTTGATTCTTCAGCATGATGGCCTGGGGGCCTCACAATAGCAAAACCGTTCTGTAAGAACAAGATAGGTTTTCAATTACCAGATTTTAAGAGAATAAGGCAATAGGAAGGGGGTGGCTGCAAAGAAATTCTCCTTATTTCCATGGAGCAAAAAACATCAAGGAATAAGCTGGTTTTATTTCTTTATATCCTACTAAGACATCTATGCCTCTTTTCCTGGCTTTGTTAATCTTTCATAGAATATACTGAAGCAATACCTTCACTCTCCAGTGTTAAAACTTTCATATAAGTTGAAGGGAAAACCTTTGCTATATCAAATGCTGTTAAACCACCATTCTATTATCTTTTAGGCATTTCAGGAAATAAATATCACAGGTTGTTGGAGGAAAGAAATGTGTCACACCAAGTCATGCTGAAGTTAACGTAATACTCTCAAGATAGTGATGGACATTCTATTAAACCAGTGCTAGAGAACAAATTAGTTGCCAGGTCCATTCCTCTTACACAGGGGATGAGTGAGACTGCTGTTCTCTTTCTTTTTCCCAGATAGTAAAATAATCTGTTATCCTATAGACCTTAACCTATAGACCATGCTAGTTGTAAGTGAAGCATTCTATATCTTGAGAGATCCACATTCTGCACCCGTGGACTGTAGTAGATACAGATAGACACTGATACCAAAGTAACAAATACAAAAATCTTTCTAGTCCAACTTTGTTTTTAGTAGCAATCCAGTTAGATGCCTTCCAAGTTTCATGCAAAAGGCATGAAATAATGTATGACACATAGGGCATGAAAGTAATGGCCTGCTATTTGTTTGCTAGACTATCACTGAACATGGGGATTTTCTCTAATTATTATGGCTTGCACCCTTTGTTATAATTATTCTTTACCCCTTTGCAATTCCCAGTCCAAATGTACAAGCAGAAGTTTGCACTTTTTTTCTAGTAGGTAAAACCATGGCATGTACATTGTATATCTATTACTTTGACAACATTGCTGAGGATAGAGCAATGAAATTCAAAGTGACCTTTGATCTTTCATTTAAGCTCCTAGAAATTAATATTCCTATGTTGCAAAACATAGATATTTTCATTTTTCTTGACCTTCTACAATGTCAATACTAAAATATCCCTATGGCAATTCCATTCATTTTTACTTCTTTGCAAATTACAGTACTTTATTTTTCTATTTACATTTATTCTGTGTTTAAAATGTCATCTCATTTTATGGTATCCATGTTTAGTAGTGCCAGAATGCAAGAATATTTATTTCAAGTGTAAACACAAGGGGAGAAAATCATAGGAATAATATTTGTATGCATGTGCACGTGTGCGCTTGCTGAGTTCCATAGTAAGTCACTGACTAAGCAAGGCTATATAAAAAAAAGCTATTACATAAAATACAATACTTAGGTAAGCAACCCAGGGAAAGGATCACAAGAGAGACTGCAATTCTATATATTTCCTAAGACCTGTTTTTGAATGAATTGTAATGCTCATGTGGAGTTTCTATCTATGATTGTTGTGCTCTAAACCCATGTTTTTTAAACTAAGCAATTAAAGATATGTGAACTCCAATTCCCGTGCTGACTGTTTCGATATTTTTTTCAGTCCATTCATATTATAAGTATGGAAAATCTGGAACTATGCAAATTGTCAGTTATGTCGATGATAAAATCCCAGAAAACTGTACAGTTTATCATATCAAGACTACATCATATATAGATCCAATATGTCCATAAAAAACTAAAGGACAAAAAATAAAGCCTATGTGAACATCAGATCTTTAAATAAATTGAAAACTTTGTTCCTTTGTTTGATATGTAGGTTCCTTTGTTTACATTCAGCTGCATGAAAATAGGAATTTTCCTTTTTGCATGAAAATAAACTCTCACATGCAAAAAAGTCATTGGGGAGATTAGAAAAAAGAAGAATGATGGAAATTCCATATTTCACTATACTATAAATCTAGCTTAGAAGCCTGCCAAAGCTTGTAACTATTGGAGTTTTTAAAGACAGTTTATAATACACAAGGCAGACATTTTGTATGTTTTCATACAGAGTAGTTATGAAAAGAAATATCTGATTTTCTAAAATATCTTAAACAATTTCTGTAACACACCATTCAGAATTCTCCATTCCCTCCTGGCACACTATCCAACAAAGGGCAGTTCAATCACTCCTAAATGATGATCAGAAATTCAGAGTTTTGAGTAAAGATGTAAACACTCTTTGCTGATAAGAAATGTACTGTTAACTATTCACTGATTCTATATATAAATATTATTGAGAGAATAATTAAGACTGAAATATATATTGAGTTGAAAATTTTTGGAGTGCCAAAGATTGCTGAAAGACCTAATACCGAGACTCCAGTTCAATAAATTAAAGATGAAAATTATGACGCACAAAAGGAAAGTATGTGGAAACTGGATTATTTAATCATCACCAGAGGCCTTTGAACTACGAAGCTGGAGAAGATTCCTGCTAGTCCCTTAGACTGCAAGATGATAAAATCGGTCAGTCCTAGAGGAGATTAACCCTGACTATTCTTTAGAAGGCCAGATCCTGAAGATGAAACTCAAATACTTTGGCCACCTAATGAGAAGGAAGGATTCACTGGAGAAGAGCCTAATGCTGGGAAAGATTGAGGGCAAAAGAAGAAAAGGACAACAGAGAATGAGGTGGCAGGATGGAGTCATCGAAGCAGTAGGTGTGAGCTTAAATGGACTCCAGAGGATAGTAGAGAACAGGAAGGCCTGAAAGAACGTTGACCATGGGGTCGCAATGGGTTGGACATGACTTCGCAACTAACAGCAACAATAAATTAATTTGGTATTTTTGTTAGTTTCTAATAGGCTTTTTGCTGAACCAACACTGAAAATATGATTTCCAGATTGTGTATAGATTTGAGTTAAGGTATGGAAAGAAGACAAGTTTGCTTTTAATTTTAAGAGAGGTTGAAGAGTTATGATGTTTGATTATGCTCAGTGTGATAAAGGTTGGGAGCCATTTCATTGTTATTGCCTTTTTTCCTTTTTCCTCTCTTTTACTTTGTCTCTTTTCTTGTTCTTTCTCTTGCACTCTTTAAATTTATTGCTTTTATATTTTAATTTTATTTTATTTATTTTTACTATATCTGTTAAAACTCTATTAAAAATTATTGCAAACAAATGGAAATACTACTGTGTGCATGCCATCCAATTTAATCCCTTTCAGAATTAAAAATCCATGTTGGCACTCATCTTCAATTGGTATTCTTTGGTTTTTAAATAATCCAAATGGTGGTAATGTCTACCATTAGAATTGTACAAATATTATTATTCACTTCAGGATTTTAAAATTGCCTGTTTCCATCCTCCGAGCCTTGATGTAGGAGGTGTGAAAAAATTCATGGGTGAGGAAGGAGCATGGTGATACAGAAAATGTAATTGTTTATACAGATCTAAGTGCTTATAGATTAAGCTAAATGCTTGAATATGTTCAGGGAGTAAATGAAACTGAACTGTCTAGATGTTTTTCTCACTTTTTGGTATCACATCAATTAAAATAGAGAGATTGCATCAGAAAAAAATGAGAAAGAAAAATGTTGACCTATATGTAGTATTATATATAAAGTTGTGCATGTTCTTTATGTGTATGGATTTGTATATGTGGATAATTATGGCGGATAGAAGAGTGTATACTTAGAAAATTGTTCAGAAAATGTGGTCCAAACCCCACACAAGGAAAGTTCTCTGCTACTCTTTAAAACAGCCTCTTCTTTTTGTAGGTTTCATGGGAAATTCCACAAAGAAACTCATAAAGCAACATCACTTTTTTCCAGACTTAATCAAATCATGAAAAATAGAAAATTGATTGAAAGATATCAAGGAAGTTCTATGCTTCCACTTCTATTAAAAAGCACTGCTTCCTAAACATTTCCATTGCATGCACAACTTTAAAATATGTGATTTTCAAATACACAGAATAGTTCGTAGATTCCATATTCAGTCTGTGAAGAAAAGGCTAATATTGATTGGCAACTTAACAGTTCCTACTGTGCTTTATTAATATTTATCCATGCTGTCTGGTTGACCCATCACAACAGTCTAACTGCCATTTCTGACAGGCAGAAACACATCACCCTCTATTAATCCTTCATTCACACTCAAAGCAACCAGCTAGTTTTGCTATTCCCAATTCCCAAGCAAAATTGGAATCGTTTGGGAGATTAAATAAAAGTAATATTTTTTAAAAGTTTTAAAAGTTTCTGTTATGTTTTAAACTAGCACATACATAAATTCAGATTAACATTCTGCATATGCATATATACACTACACTTAAAGTATGCCTGCCTAGGAATATCCATCAAAACACAATTCCCATCTAGACAGGGTTGACAGACTATCAATGCAAGAGGGAATGTAAGGGAAGTATATCTTGATTTCAGCAAAATATTCAGTAAAATCTCCCAAACGATTCCATCAAAGAAGATTACATCATCTTGGATCAACTATGAGTCTTGATTGAACAATTGTATCCCAATAAGTGCAGAACTGTGGCTTTACTTCAAGGGAGGAAGGTTCCATAGGCTCCAATTTAGACGTTGCATAGTTTGCTATGCTTATAAATTATTTGGATGAGAGATTAGAAAATATAATGATCCAATATGTACAGAGATAGGGGAATGATAAATGCCTTAGGTGACAATGTCAAGGTTGAGGATCTTAAGAAGCTGGAACATTGGGTAGATACTAGGAGGAGGATTTTCAAGAGTACAAACAGTTTGAATCAAAGGCTCCATTAAAAGGCATATTGGGTATCACTAAACATAAAATAAGGCAGATTTGAGTCTACCAGGTCACAAACTGAGGATGAATGCAAAGCAAGTTAGGCTTCATCAAGAGATGTCTAGTGTCAAGATCAAGAACATAGCAATGAGGTGATGCAAGTGTCAGGAGTGAAATGGACACATCAAATGTAGGGAGACAGATTGATTTGTTTACAATTTGTTTAATTTGTTGTTTGTCCCTTTTAAGATCTCAGGGAAGCAGGCTTAAGGCAAAT